ATATATATATATATATATATATATATATATGGTTACACAAAACAAAAAACAATGGCCATTATTTAGGAGCACTTTTCAGCTGAAGGATCGATTTGATATCGTCAGTTATGATTCTGACATTTGCGGTAATTAAATCATGAACCGTAACCGATTGAAAGCCGGAAGTAGGCCTACTAACACAAATTCAATTTGAAATTATATACATGAAAATTAAAATCGTCTTGCCTGCTATTTTCATAATACAACGCTAGGCTAGGTTGTGTTAAGAGTGGCGTATCTAGGAGTCCTGAAAGGGAGAGGGGAGGTGGGGGGAAGTAAACTGGAGTGGGGAAGGATCGGTAATCATAGTGAGGGGATACTAGCTCGCAAAATAAGTTGATATGAGGTTATTTTTAAATACCTGGGCTTATTTTTTATTCTTCGAACATTTACAATGGTCGGGAGTGGGGTAACTGGGGTACTGAGCCCAATTACACCCCTACTGCTGCTGATCATCTCCACCACACGCAATACCTAACATAACTAAATAGACACTGCTCGTTTTACCCACCCACTCTCGCGCTCACATATCACTTTGTTTCACTAAAATCCCAGCTGATACAATTGGCATGGAATGCTGTGATATGTACTGATATCCTTCAGAGGTGAGATTGCTAGACTATCGTTGTCGTGGTAACAGTTGTGCAATACATTCTTGATTGCTAATTATATTTTGAGGGTATAATTCTGATAGAAGCCACGCGTATTGTAATGCAAGCATATTATTAATTCATTTATAATAAAGGAAACACTTTAATCGGCCTCTCTATATAGAGGACTAAGCTAATTACAGTATTTCACTTGAAGTAGACCCTACCTTTCATTGCATTGATAAATGAATATTGAAAACTCAATATAATATAATAATAATTGTGATTATTTTGACGATGATTATAATGATGATGAGGCTGATGTGTTGACGGTGAAAATAAATATGATAATTATATATATATATATATATATATATATTAATAATAATTATAATGATAATTACTTTATAAGTACGACTATCATGAATACGAATAATGATAGGGTGATGACGATGATGAGGACGATGATGATGATTTGTGATTTAAGTTGTGTGTGGAAAAACAGATAACAAACAATGAAGATGAAGAAGAAGATGATGACTAATGATGATGATTATAATCATGATGATGACGACGACGATGATGATAATGATTATGTCATTGCACATCCACCCACAGTGTTCCAGTACAAACTTTGCTTAGAAAACTACATTAATGCCTGTATGTCATTTTATGTTTTATGACTTTCGCCGCAATCTGCTCAATGGATTTCGATTGACACGTTTTTGATTATTAATTTACTCTTAAGATATTCAAATATTTAAGATGTGAAAAATCGATTTATTTTAGAGAGGTTAATATGACGATGACTGCCAATAAAGTGTTTATCGTTCATAAAATTGATAAACAGAATTCATATATGCATAATTATAATGCAGGGCCTCAGGAGTTTGAAAAAATGAGGCACGGAATGAGTAGAAATGAGGAGTGGGGTGAATACGCTTCATGAACTTATTTCATTTTGTAAGATTTACCATTTATGAACTGAAGAGTCGGGAATCAGATTTTAGGTTAATGTTATCCTAATGTGCTCATTATTTGAATATTTATAATATATAATAATAACAACAACAACAACAACAACAATAATAATAATAATAATAATAATAATAACAATGATTTATTATTATTATTATTATTATTACCATTATCATCCCCATCATCATCATCTCCATCATTTAAATACCCGATATTTCTTTTTCAGAGGGAGCACCGGTATATTTATATTGTCATCATTATGATACATGTGCTGCACCTGAACGATGCATCGGTGACACAGCAGCCGGGAGATCTAGTAAGCAAATATTGAAATATATGTATATATATATATACATATACACATCTAGATGTGTATAAGAGACAGATATATATGTATATATATATTATTATTATATATATATATTATATGTATATATGTTATATTATTATTATTATGTAGGCCTATATATATATATGTATATATAGGCCTATGTATATGTATATGTTACATATGTATATATATATATAATATAATATAATAGAAAAAAGATACTATCCTTACTTCCATTATGTCTTATCTAATTTTGATTTAGTAAAAATACTCTCATAGTGTGGTTTTCTGCGCAAAGCTGCTCGTGTAATTGTGAGTTTTCTACCTATCAGGTCCAATGCGGCCTGAGGCAGTACGGCAAGCCTGCTCATGACTGACGCCGCGCGTCTTTAACTGCGGTGGTGGGCCTCTCCTATCATTCGACCATATTTCTACCACTCTTGTTATACTCCTACACTTTTGGAGTCTTTAGGAGGTCGGTTTTACCCACCAGAACCCTGAATACCAAATTTGATCATGGTAAGTATTGTGCCAATATGATTATCTATGTGTAAAATAATATAAAATCTATTGTCCTGCAGACTTCATTGGACAACACAACGTCCAAGCTCCTTAACGTCATGGATAATTTAATCAGCAAAGATGATCTGGTTCTCGCTTTGCAATTGGTGGCTGAATTAATGGATGGCGCTGTTTCTACGTGGAGCACAGATCAAACTCAAACAACATTTATAAACGTATGTAAATGGCTAATGTTGTTAATAATATTAAAGTTTATGATTTGGAGCTCCTATATTATAATAATTGAGTCCAGGAAATATAAACTACCGACAATTACTAGGCTAGAGTTTTTACAGTTTCTCCATCTATCAAATTATGTGTTTCGTTCGTATTGATTTTTTTTTCACTGCGTCGATTGAATGTGTTTGAAGGAAGGTCAATAAATGTGAATACGTGCTTGGAAATTTGGAGTTAAATAGATAAACACCAGATAAATTCGAGCAGTAGTAGGCTATATAATTATGATGGAATACGGTAACCTATTATATAATAGTTTTAGAATACGGTCCTGATAGTCTTTTTTAACGTTATTAATCATCGATTTGAGTTTGCGTCAGGAAAATAGGAGTGATGTTTTGCCCTACATGACATGTTTACGTACCGAATATTCAGTGCGTTCCCAAATAGTAGTCTGCAGGCTAATTATCTGGAGGTCATGGGTTCAATTCCCACCCAAATCATCTGCGATTTTTTTTTTTTTGCGAGTGTTTGTGAACGTAGGTACGAAAACAAGTCAGGTAGGGCAAAACATCACTCATGTTATTAATCATAACTTAACATTCATTAAGACACCCTGAGTTGTGTTGTCACGAACAAGATCGTCATATTTATTCCACTCGTTGTTCATCAAAATCATTATTACATACAATATTGTAATTTATTATTAAGCTTTTCACTCCGTTCACTCGTGAGAATAGCGTAACGAGCAGTGTTTGTTCAATTTATATTTGATCTGTATGAAGAATAGTTAAAGCATAAAGCAACGTCTTGGAGAAGGCGTATGTAATTAGTACGATGTAATCTAGCACGGTAATTTAAATCACCTTTAAAGTGGCAGTGCTCTATAAGTTCCAGTAAGTCCACGTTCATCGTTCATCCTTCATATGTAAACATCCTCAGCTCTTTAGCTACCAATTGGCTGTGATGCAACGCAGTTACATTTTGACGCGTGCGCCAACCAACTGGTGTCTACGCCTATGACCCGTCAACTTGGATATATAATACCATAATTATATTCAAAGAAAACTCGGTTCTGTTAGCATAACATTAGTATCTCGACTATCAATTTGAATAAATCTATATACGCCTATAGTTAACTAGCATCGTAGGTAAATGCTTTAATCACTGCTTGGGTCCACTATTAAAAGAGACGGTATGTCTGATTTAGGTTGATATAGCAAAAATGATCGCCAATATCCCGTTTTCAATTTAGACCAACTCTCTATCAACATAATTTTATTTTACGAATAATTCATGCCATCACTAGGTGAGCGTTGATAATCGTAACCTCGTGGCCATGGTAATCACATCTTGATTAAACTTAAATGAAGGATACATAATAATAAGCTAATGATAGGCCTGCTGTTGAGAGCAATCTTAATATCATACATGGCTACCTTAATGAAAATGTGTAAAGTAATTGGGACTACGGATAGGCCTATTTCTATATTGATTGTGAAGAAACTTAAGACTATTGTGTATAATACATGCGAATATCAAATTTTACTGTAATTTATGAAGTCATCGCGGCATATCGTCACTTCTATGTTTGAATCACTTACCGGTTCAATGTAGTCTTGCATCACGATTTCATTTTGTATTATTTTTAATCGGCCGTAACGTACAATTTTATTAAACAGACGCTTTACAAGACACTAGTTCAGGACCAAAGGGTCAGAAATAGTTAAATGAAATAAATGACATATTTTGGTATTTAACCTTTCGCAGTCAGATGTCAGCCATAAAATTTAGAAAATCCTCCAGGAATTCAATTATTACCTTATTTAAAGGATCAATAAGTCTAAGTTATTAAAATGTCCAAACAAATAACATCAGTCTCTGTAAATTATAAGCCAGGCATTCCCTGGGCGTCGTAACGGTCCCTACGAATCCAACTCTGCAGCTCCCTGTGAGCGTGAGACGACGCCCGCCTGCTTATCGTCGTGGCGTTGCGTTCTCCATAGAATCGGGTCGGCCGAGGATCGTCGGACGCAGTGAGTACCCGGCTTGCCGACACACCTCTTGCCTCGTTCTTCATTCTTAAATTATTTCCAAGCCAATAAGAGTTTATATTAACAGTTTTATTTATTTGTCCGTTAAACTGGCGTGGAAATATTTTCTCGAGTATAATTTCAAATTTATTAATTAATTTTGATAAAAAATAAAATTTAATTAATTGATTATTTTGTATATTAAAAGAAATAAATCATTAGTTTTCAATCGAATATTAGAATGAAGTAAATGCTCTGGTTTTGATTTTAGTCCGAACAGACGAATGTATTCAACATTAAATTTTACAGTATTTAGTAATACACGACTTCTCTCGGAGCTTGCACAAAAAGCTTGCATTTCAGTTACCGGTATATAAAGTTGTCTTATGGAACACAATTAGTGCCTTAAGTGCATAATCATTATGCGGCAAAAGGTTCGAAGTGGAATCGTATAATGTCGAATATGCACTTGTACATAATGCCAATTGTACACTATCAATGTCAATGAATTTTATTTTGACTATGACAGGCCTTCGGCCCCGAAAACAGCATTCAAACATCAGAATAAAATTGGATGGATGGACGGATTTATTCGGTGTTAACAAGGAATAACCCACTGAGTCTTAAGAGCCGGGCACTCTCACTGCGCACCGCGACGGTCGTCGGCCAACGCGATTCTATGAAGAACGCAACGCGACGACGTACAAGTTCATATATTTTTATTCAGAAAAAATCCACAACAAATTACAAATTGCAAATTGTTTACATAGGCATCAAAAGAAGCGGTGGCTTGTCAGTTTGAATACCAAACATACAAAACGTACACACACAGAATACATAGTAAACACATCAACATTTTAATTTTTAAATTTGGGATCGCCCACAATCGCCGGCACCTCCAGGAAGGGGAAATGCCTCAGTGATCATCACGTCGCGCAACGGATCGTTTTCAATGACGATCCGTTCAGACTGCTACCGACAATCAGCAGACGGCGTTGCTTCATCTATCGCTCACAGGGAGCGGGGTTCGATTCGTCGTGCGACGGTCGTACCACCGTCGTACGACGCAGTGAGTACCCGGCATTAGGAAGACTTATTTTCAGTGGAGTCCAATTCTTTGGTAATTGGGCAGCACAGTTTTCTGAAGAGTGTACTGCATTCTTTAACGCGGGTCATAATGCATATGAGTCCAATGGCATAATCGTGTCATCCGAAAGACGATGCGCTATTGTAACTTGTATTTCAGCCCTACAGCTGAAATACAAGGAGAGAGCAGCGATGGGGATTGAACTGTGTAGGTACCAAAAGATCTCTACTACCAGTTTAACCGACTGAGATATAAGCTGATACTACAATTACATGTCGATTGTATTCTTATTCCAAATTGTCACAGTAATATCGATTGTGCACTTCTTAATGTCAATTGTACACTACATCATGTCGAGTTGATGTCTATCACAAAGGCAATTCAACAATTGCCTTGTTAATACATAATGTCAATTGTAGGCCTACATTAATATGAATCTGCACTTAAGACATTAATGGCGTTCCATACTGCTTTACTTATATTCTACAGAATACAGCGCAACTCATCACTATCATCAAACCAGGGAGACGTCCCCTGATCAAACCATTAGACGTTTTTGCAATCTCATTCATTATCGTCCAAATGCACATAATTTGCTTTCTTAAAATGAGTCGAGCTATTGACGCTGCCGTGTGCTGCGTTTAAATCGCCGGTTATTCGTACATAATGAGAACAATATTGCATAATCGTATACAGTAATATGGTGTAGTCCAATAAGTATAATGATACCTGACGTGACATTGATTCAATTTCGCTGCTTGCATATTAAGAGTCTTTGCAGACCATTTTCCTTGGAGAAAATATTACAGTACTATCATTGCCACTGCCATCCATGAAATCATCTTTATAGTAACATAGCGACTCTCCACAACTTGTCGCCATCTTTTTTGGTTGGCTCACAATAAGAATCCATCAAAATGAGTAGGAGGCTGGGATACAAAACGTGACGTCACTTAGATCTATATGAGTTATTGATTTTTAAAGTCAATGAATTGCCTTTCAGACGTTATAGATAACCAAAATAAAGGGGAAAAACGTATTCTCGTCCGGAAAATGATAAGAACTCCCCCTCCACCCCCTCCAATTTTTTTTCTTTGGAGAGATAGTCACCATACACGCATCAATGTAATATCTATAGACCAGGCCAGTCACTCCCACGAGATACAGAGATACTCTTATAGGGGGTGTTCGATTTCTAGAGGAACTCTGAGAGTCGAAAATGCCTTATTAGAAAGTAAACCCGAGGTGTCGACTTGGTCTTGGTAGAGCTCGGATCTTGATAGAGATAAATCATTTCTTTCAACTACCATCACTATGTTATAATTGGTGTTTGAATATGAATCTCTTATTTTCTTACAGACATCTTTTGTGTTCGTAAACAATCTTATTGACCTCCAGTATAAAGAGTTATGGAAAGATCTTCAATTGGTAAGATTCTCAGAGCACGATTATAATAAAAATTGCATGGGAAGTAAGCTTACGTATTGTATGTGAAAAATAATGGATTCTTTAAATACATGCTTTTAAGTATGCAGTCTCGTAGATTCAAGTACAGTTTGTCTTTGCAGTACGGTACAATTATGTCCAAATACTGCAAATCTCCAAATAAACTCTCCTGAATACAGTGTATGTGTACTTAAAAAATATAAATTAATTGTTATGTGTAATTACGGTTACTGTTTCATTAGCCGTCTCCGTTCGAAAACATTTGACTGTCATCGACAATCATGATTTCATAATTATGTTACAGAAAGTTACGACTGTTTACCGGCATGGTACCTTTTTTTACAGATTTCATTGGTAGACTGTATAATCTTTCTGGAGAATGTTCAGATGTTTGGTTACGACATCAGTAGCATATTAAGGCAATCTGACAACACTTCGCTAGAAGATATCGAGCTTGAAAACATAAGTACATATATACTATCGCGTTGTTGTTGTATACTATCGAGATCGTATGGGTTGCGATGGTAGTGCCATATCTTTCCCGACAGGGGGCTGCAGGTAGCTCCGACATGTGATTAGTACCGTACCCCCGACAGGGACCTCCTTGCATGATTTTATCC